ATACCTCCGCAGGGAGAAGCTATTCCAGGAGTTGTGTGACCATCCATAGGATGCATTGCCATGAGTCAGAGCTTACCTGTTAGGAATTAAGGAAGAGGTTTTGATGACGTGGGACCCAACGACCATGACTCTTAGAAACCTGCTGGGACTCAATCCTCTTTCACCTCTGTGAGGTTCATGAGGAAGCAGCACATTCAAGGGTCACTAAGATGAGAGATCAAATACCATTTTTGCATTCATCTGAATAAATGCTCAATTTATTGAGAGCAGAGGTCTAGGAAGCAAAGTCTTCAAGGGTCTTTCCTTCCCTGTGACATACCAAAATCATCTCACCCTGGGTACTGCCACATTAGACAAGAAATTCAGTCATGCATGGTGGTGCACATCTCTAATCCCAGCTACTGGAGGGAGTGAGGCCAGCCTGAACAAATCAGTGAGACCCTGTCTCAAAATGAAAAATAAAAAGGGCTGGGGGTGTACCTCAGTGGTAGAGCACCCCTGGGTTCAATCCCTAGTACCAGGGGGTAAAAAAGAAAGAAAAATACAAAAGAGAGAAATGAAAGCAATAAAAGTCTGCCCGGCTATGTGTTTAGGGAAAAGAAAACAAGAGGTCAGATTCTAAGAAGAGGCCCTGACTCACCTTACCTATTCCTGATATACAAATAGAAGAGAAAGCTCAACAGGGATTGGTACTGCTCTTGTTAAGTGTGGACCAATTTATTTCCTGGAATCTGACCAACACTGCTGAACACTCCTCTGGGGGAAAAGGTAAAAACTTGGAGAGAACAGGAGATGCAAGAGTTTCCTTTCCTCCAACACTAGCTCCTCCTAACAGGCACCATGGACCAACAGGATCAGCATGCCTGGTAGCTTCTTAGAAATACAGAATCGTGGACTCCAGCCTACACCAATGGAATTAGAGAACATCATTTTTTAATAAGATCTCAAGGCAATTCATACATATGTTGAAGTCTGAGAAGCACCGAATTTCTGACTCCTAAACACATGCTCAGGTTTTCTGTCATTTGGATCTTTGATCATGTCCTAAATTAGTGCTCTGCATATGGTCAATAGATAATTAAAGAAGGTTTGAGAAATTCTCACTGACCCTTATTTACTTCCATTTGAAGGGAAGAGATCATTTTTGAGAAGCTACAACACACTTACCAGTCAGTGGCTCAGACAGAGACAGAAGTGTACTAAAAACAAGCAAATAAAACATTTTCAGATGCACACAGAGCTCTGTCGAGTAGGACAGATGGGCATAGTAATTCTCCTCTCACTCCATCCTCCCGCCCATAATATTTCCCTCCTTCTTCATTCGCATTCTCTTTTATGTGAGCTAGTACTAAGCTCCTGTGTTGAGTCTGCTTTGTACATAGTGTTGTACCACATGGGTTACGTGTCTCTTGCAGCCCTGCCCTCAAAGTAAAACTCTCAGAATAGGATACTATACCACTGAGCCGGGACATGGGGCTGGGAGGGGAAGCAATTGTAGCACATCGATAATTGTCTCACCTTTAATGATGGTGACCATCCGGTCCTGGTAACCCAATGCATGTCTTATTTCTGACAGTACCAAATCCCAGGCCTGGAGTTCATCCAACAATTGTCCTCTGTGTCCCTTTCTACCTGAGGAACTTTGCACACTGGTAATGATGAAGATTCCGAGCACCCAACCCCAATTTCTTCTCTCTGCTCAACCTGATAGATCACTTGGCAAATATTTATGGATTAACTGGAGTTCTGCCACAACATTATAGGATCCAATGATGAAGGATTTAACCAGCAACAAAATTACCACCTGTTGAACACTCACAAGGTGCTTGGCAACCACCCTATAAGGCAAGCACCATCCCTGACTTAATAAGTGGGGAAATTTGAGGTTGTCTAATGTTGAATAACTTGTCCAGGAAATAGTAAAGATAGAATTCCAGCCCATACCTGCCTGAGTCCAAAGCTTCTTAAACACTGAACCATAGGTTGGCTCAGTGAGAAGAGAATCATTTCCCTCTCTGAGGCTAATGTGAGGATCAAGTGAGATTGAAGACATTAAAGCACTCAGAAAAGTTAGGTACTCAGAAAACATAAGGTATAATTTAGTACCTTAAGAGTGTGTCCAGCTGGGTGTGGTGGCACATGCCTGTAATCCCAGCAGCTTGGGAGGCTGAGGCAGGAGGACTGCAAGTTCAAAGCCAGTCTTAGCAACTTAGCAAGGCCCTAAGGAACTCAGTGAGACCTTGTCTTTAAATAAACTACAAAATAGGGCTGGAGATGTGGCTCAGGGGTTGAGGGCTCCTGAGTTCAAAGCCTAGTACCAAAAAAAAAAAAAAAGAATGTGTCCAACCAAAAGCCTTCAATATTTTAAAAACAGCAATACACTTATGAAAAATATTCACCTGAAAAGATAATTCCAGTTAATCTGATATATGTTTTTATTTATCAAATTAGAAAATATTTTTAACAGGTTCATCCTTTATATTGGTAAGAATGCTGCAAACCTGTACATTACTAGTAAAGCACAAGTTAGTTCCACCTTTCCAAAAGAAGCAAATTGGTAATAGGTTTCAAGCCTTTCTTGATTGTCACAGGATGATTCCCAGATCTGCACCCCAAGCTGTACATTGTCACATAGATGCATTCTTTATTAATACTTTGATATGATTTCTACCAATTGTTTATTATGTGCCTGTATTTCTACAGTATTCCTTTAACAAACATCAGTGGTATGAGAAAATACATGTAATTTGTTCCTGACTTTTAAAACTATATATTTTATGTGATTGAATATTCTTTTAAAGTTTATTTATTTATTTATTTTGGTAGTTATAGCTGTTGTTGTTTTTATTGTTGTTTGGTGCTGGAGATTATACACAGGGCCTCATTCATGCTAAGCAAGTGGTAGCTCTACCACTAAGCTACCCCCCTAACCCTTAAAGTGTCATTTTAATGGTTGTATAATATTCCCTTGTATGTCTGTGCCACAATGTATGTAGCCAATTTTTTATGTCTAATCAGATTTTACTATTATAGATAACACTGAAATAAAAAATATAGATACTTCATATGGAGTGGTTAATTTGTGCCGAGCACTGTATTAAGCACTTCATCTATAATTATTGATTTAGTCCTCATAATGACCTTGTGAAATTGTGCCATCATTATCTCCATTTTGAACACCAAGTCACAGAGACTTGCCTAAGATCACACTAGTAGTAAGCAGCATATCTGAGACTTTATTCAAGCAAACTGGCCCCAGAATCTATGCTCTTAACTCTCTTTATATTTAAAATTTTGTCCCAATTTTTTCCTTATAAGAAATTATGTCAATTTTTAAGAAACGTGTGTGTGTGTGTGTGTGTGTGTGTGTGTGTGTGTGTGTGGTGTGTTTCTGGGGATGGAAACCAGGGCCTCATGTGGGTTAATCAACACTCCACCCTTGAACTGGTATCCTGAAGGAGGGAAGGGCACTTAAATATGCCTGCCTTCTTCACTCCTTACAAAATCAAATCCAAATTCTTCATCCAAAAGCCTCCATATGGGATGGGAATGTAGCTCAGTGATAGAGTGCTTTGCCCAGCATGAGTGAGGCCCTAGGTTCAATCCCCAGTACTGCAAAATAGCTAGATTAAAAATTAAAGTTTCCATAATTCATCAGAACAATTTCCCAGTACTTAGGCCACAAAATCAAACCACTGTGTCCTAAATACACCTGAGATTTCAGACCTCATGATTCCTCTGGGATTTCCTCACTCTGGCTGATATGTCACTCTCTTATATTTTCTTTTGTCCACCTCCTACTTGACTTTCAAGGCCTTCAATGTTATTTTGTCCATAAAGCCTCCGGATCCTTCTCTACTCAAGAAGCCACCTCCCCCACTCCTCCTCAGGGCTGCAGATCACTGTCTGTTCCTCCCCAGTGACACTTTCCACTCTACCTGGAGTGGTGATTGGTGGTTGGCTGAGGGTTTCTTGTGGGTAGGGGAGTAACCTGCCTATCTCCGTCTGCCTCTCCCAATCCCCAACAGACAGCTGACACTTGGGGTTGACTGAAAAAAAATGAAGGAAGGAAGTGAGCCTCCTAAGGAAGGGCACGGAACTGTCTAGTAATGGAAACTGGAACCGCAAACCCGCCAAGCCCGATGACCCACAGTAACAGGTGTTTCCATCTCTGGTGTCTGTGATTCATCTGCACGGCTGCGCACTCACACAGCGTAAGCCTACAGTCTCCTGGAGTACAACGCCCCACACGCAGACGTGCACACCGTGTACGGGCCGCCCTGGAGACACACCTCAGCGACAACCAGGATCCACGAAAAAGGAAACCCTGCACCCTTAAGATATTAATGCCTTACTGTCAAAAGAAAAAAAAAAAAGCCCCAACAAAACAAAAAACCAAGAAGCTATGGTTGTGCCTACTTCTCTTGCTCACTGCTGCATCTTTTGAGTTTTTAAGAAATCTATGCATGCATCTCGTTGTTGCCCTCCTACACACACACACACACACACACACACACACACACACACACACACACCACCCTTCCCCCATTCCTCTCTTTCAGACTAGGCGCGCCTCCGAGGACTGGATTGAATGGGAAAGAGCGGGGCCGTCTTTGTCATTAATTCTCCCCTCCTTGGAGCAAGCCAAGCTTCTTCCGGGTCAGTGGCAATCACCGCCACCCCAAATCAAGCCCCCGGATCCCCCAAACCGATAACCCCGGAGCGCGCGAGGGCCGGGTCGCCACCGGCTGCAGGTTGCGGAGGGGAGGAGGGCGGGGTAGAGGGCGGGCGGCGCGAGTGGGGGAGGGAGGGAGGGAGGGAAGGAGGGAAGCCATCCGAGGGGGAGGAGAGAGCAGCCTCCCGCAGCTGACGGGGAGAATGGGAGTGCGGGGCGACAGACCGCCGCAGGGTGTCACGGCCGCTGAGAAGCCTGAGAGGCGCGGGGCCAGCGCCCGCCGCTTTTAAACCCGGGAGGGCGCGGCGGCGGCGGGCGGATCGCGGCGTGCTCGGGCGGCGGCCGAATGGAGAGGAAGGGCTCGGCGGCCGGGGCCAAGGGGAACCCGAGCCCGCCCGCGGCCGGCGAGGGGCAGCGGCCGTCGCCGCCAGTGTGCGTCCCGGGAGGCAGCGGAGGAGCCCCCGCGCGGGGCCAGGCTGGGGCGGCGGCCGAGCCCGCCGAGCTCATCCGGCGCGCTCACGAGTTCAAGAGCCAAGGGGCGCAGTGCTACAAGGACAAGAAATTCCGCGAAGCCATCGGCAAATACCACCGGGCGTTGCTGGAGCTGAAGGGGCTGCTGCCGCCCCCCGGGGAACGGGAGCGGGACTCGCGCGCAGCCTCCCCGGCCGGGGCCCCCAAGCCTGGCCGCCTCTCAGAGGAGCAGAGCAAGTCGGTGGAAGCCATCGAGATCGACTGCTACAACAGCTTGGCAGGTGAGCCGCGCCGCGCCCCCGGCCCCTCCTGCTGCCCTCGGGGTCTGAGGCCCGGTTCCCCGGCCCGGTTCCCCGTCCCTGTCCCTCCTGCGTCCGGACCGCTGCGGCGCACCCGCGGTGCAGCCTCTGGGGCTGTGACCGTGCCGCTCTGGGAAGGAAGGAACCTGGGAGGGAGGCGCTTTGGAAAAAGTGTGACTTTCAAGATGATGCCTCTCAAAGGCCTTAGACATCTCACGTCCTTTTCTTTGCATACATCGCAAATCTCCCATTTAAATGGCTGGACAAACAGAAGGCGACTTAACTGGCCTGGCGACGGCTGCTACTGCTTACCAGTAGACTTGGGTCCAAAATACAGAAGCGGCGCCCTAGGTGGGGCCCTGCAGCCGCTGTTAACCCAGCGTTTTCTTTTGGGTGGGTCCTAAGGACGGGCCCACGCACCTGTCCACTGTCCTCAGGTATCATTGTCTCCAAAGTTGGCCATCACCCTCCAACCTCAACTAACTGCGTCCCTTTGAGTAAGGTTCTTTTGCAAGTTCTTTGACCCCTGTAGCAAAGGGGAGTTTGACACAATGCCTTTCCAATCTTGAGCAAAATGGATTCCAAAATGCCACTTTCTTCTTTCTGAGCTCCGCTGGAGCTCCGGGTTGCCAGGTGAAGACAGAAGCCTCAAAGGGAACCCAGTTCACGTTTGGTCTTAAGCTTTGCTGCATTCTTGTTCTCTTCTGGGCTAAGAAGAGATGTACATCCAGAGTTCACTTTGGGGATGAGGTCAAAGTCAGCCATTTACAAAATTTAATTTAGGCACAGAAAATTCTAAGTCCGTAAGACAAAAACAAAAACAAACAAACAACACAACAATAAAGACTCTGGATCTTCCCAAGGCCTTCTGTGAGAAGGTGAGAGTTGTTGGAAGTGGCAACAGCCTTATATTTGAAGTGCTCTCTCTTCTCCTCCTACCCACTTTGGCAGGATTTTAGCATGGTCAAGCTTCCCTGACTAAATAAATGCCCATTTCTCCTAGTTCCTAACCCTTAAAGTTGCCTAAACTAGCTAGGGACTGTTAGAATAGGGTATATAGGTGTAATGTGACTGGATGTGGCTGGGATGGTGGATGTGTCTGGGGCCAGGCACATGGGAGATGAAAATAAACAACTGCTAAGTCCGCTTGGTTCCCAAGTGCAGACCTGCTGTGTTCCCTTTGCAGTTTCTAGAACTCATTTACCTCTGCCTTCCTATAATGCCATGTACGGTATCATCCTTAATCAGGTAAAACCCAGTCCAAGGAAGCACAGTGTCAAGTAGTTAACAAATTTAAAGGATGAATAGCAATAGTAATCTGTAGCAACTGTTGTAGAAATGGTGACACTGATAGCATACCACTAATAATAGCATCAAAGGATAGCACAGCAAAGATGGAATTTTTCAATCCATTACAAGATACAGTTTGACTCCTTTTATTTCCCATAAGTCTCTGGCATATTTCCTGCTGCCTGATAAGTAGTTAAAGGGCAGAGCGGCTGTAGGTAGAGGGAGAGGTGCTCTGGATCACTAATGCAGTGATTTCAAAGTGGTAATGGAACTTTGTATTCAGTTCTAACATTGTAGAACCACACTTCACCCCATATTTTTGTTTACCAGCCAGTGGTTACATTTCTATGGTGAAACCAAAAATATGTCCTTGGTCAGGCCAGCCCAACAGGCCTGGACTGAGATCTGGACAGCTCCTTCACTTCCATCCCCACCCCCACACACTTTGGGGAACTTCAGTGGTGAGAGAATGGAAAGCAGTGGTAGCAGATTTCTCCATTTGCTGCTTTCTCTGGTGCCCATAAGTCTTCTTCAGTGTCCACCACTTATTATTGTTAATAATTTATTGTATGCACTATTAGGTACCCTACATACATTGACTTTTTAAATCTTTGTAATCTAAAAGAAATACATGATCATCAGGTTTGCCTAGAAAACCCTAAGACTCCAGAGCCCTTCCACTTCATAGGCAATTCTCTTGTCATCACAATGTCAGTATTCTCTGGGCCCTTGTCTTCCATGAGCCCAGTCTCAGGTGAGTTGCTAAGCTCTACACTTCAAAATTTATTTGGGAGCTCTCAGCCCTGGTACCCAGGAGAAAGAACTGCAGTGCCTTGAATTCAAGGTTCTGATAGGGCTACACACTTCCAAATGTTGTCATGTTTCACAGAAGAATCACTTTTTGAGTTTTTAATCTTTAGGAGATGAGCAAAATCTGTATACTGTGTAGAAATTTAAGCCATTGGGAGGAAGGTTCTGCAGAAAAGTGACTTTGGGGAGGATAGAAGTCTCCCAAGTTTCCTTGGGGTGATGCTCAAATTGATTACCACTATCTCAGAAGTCCCAGCTAATAGCAAAGTATCCTTCCTTGTAAGTAATACTTACAATATGTGTTTCCTTTTAGAAAATACCAGAAAGTTTAAAGACGTGAATACAAAATTACTTCTGATCTTACCACCTAGAGAAATCCACTGTGGTGTATTTCCTTCCTGTATTTTTTTTTTCTGCACATAAATGTAAAATTGTTTACAAAGCTGAGGCTCTCCTGTATGTACCATCATGTATCCTGCTTTTAATCCCACTTATGTTAGAAGCATTTTCACCTCTTATTAAAATATTTTCCTAGTTTTAGATGGCAACCTAAAAATGTGTGTTTACAGTTATTATTGGCTAGAAAGGAAGGAAAGATGATCACTGTTGTTAGAGCCGGAACAGTGCAGCCTGGCCCATGAGATATCTTTCCCCCTGTGTGCCTGCTAAAAGGAAGGGGACCAGCAACTGCAGGCTCATTTTGGCAGAAAGGAATCTGACCCTTCCATCAGGCCTGTGATGCCAGCTGAACAGCCCAATGAGCTCCAGGTGGGAGCACACTGAAGCTATTTTCTAAAGGTTCTGTCCTCCTTCCACACAAAGCCATGGATAGAGGGAGAGGCTTAGGGTTTGGAAGGAACTCCAACTAGCCCAGAAGTACCTGAAGAATTAGGCTATGTTGCTAAGGGCATCTGTCCTCCAAACAAGAGGTAGCATGAGGCTTCTGGAGGAAATTTAAATTCAGTGAACCCTTGTACACTGCCTGGAAACCTCCAAAGGAATAGCAAAGTGACAGCTAGAATGTGCTTAGAGATGTTAGCATAGAAACCCATTTGGTTGGCCTGAGGGGACTATAAGAAACTGCAGACAGTTTTCAAAATTCCCCAGGTCATGGTCTGCTCTAGCTTGGATTTGTTTGGTTGGGAGGAATCCAGCTAGTTGTGCAAGGCCCCTGAATGTGATTTTGCATGTCTTATTTTTAAGAATAACTTCAAGGAAAGAGATGGGGACCATTCTGTTCCTTCAGAATTCCAAATGATTCTGATATGATTATTAGAAAAGATATTCTGATCTGTCTGGAGAGACTTAGGGATCTGTCCTTATCAAGGCCACAGAGGAAGCATGTATTGGCCTGTTGAATGACTCTTGTTGACCTTGAACTAGAAACAGGATTCCTCTGGGGCCTTGGAACCCCTTGAAGGGCAAAGCCTTTTGCTGCACATCTGTTCCTGTGGTGGCCCCATCTGGGGTCTGATCAAAGGGAGACAATGCATAATGACTTTGTTGGTATCCTCCAGTGATGTTCAAGACTCAAATGCCAGCAGTGGAGACCAATGCCAACAGAGCATGACACTGAAACTAAAGGCTGGGACTTGGGCCTCTATCCCTGGCATGCCTTGTGACCTTGAAAAGCCCCTACCTCTTTATTCTACCTTCCTTTTTTTTTTTTAATCTATTTAGAGCTATGTCTGAGAGATTTTTGTTTGCTTGTTTATTTTACCAAAGGAGTAGAAAATATCTCTTGGTCTCAGCTGAAGCCCCAGGACAGGGGTATGACAGGGCCTTGAAAGAAGTCCACGGTATGAAAAGGCCTGGGATGGTACCTTCTGAAAAAAGGCTTCATAGACAGATCTTGAAGCCACAGCCCTAGCATCAGGGCAAATCACAGAATTTGCAGGGCACAGTGCAAAATGAAAACATGAGACCCCTTGTTCAATAGGCAGAGAAACCATGTCATTAAAAGTCCCAAAAGATAAGACTTTTTCCTTTCTTTCATGGTTTTTCTCTCTCTCATCTATTTTTTATTTGCTATTTAATATCACTACAAGTAAAGACAATTAAATTTTTAAATTATTGGCATCAGTTTTACTATTTGTGTTTTGTGCATGCCAGTTTTAAAGGAAAATATAAGAACACTTGTATGCGGAATCATAAAAAGTACACAATTCATATTTCATAGCTCATACATGCATAAGTAATTTATTCTTACTAGGACAGTGGAAATGCCACACCAAATTAACTTTTTTAAAATTTATCTTCTTTGTGTGCCTACTTTATGGGCATATTTTTTATTTTTTTAATTGCTTTTATTTTTTTTAAATACATGACAGCCAAATGCATCACAATTCTTATTACACATATAGAACACAATTTTTCATAACTCTGTATAAAAAGCATGTTCACACCAATTTGTGTCTTCATACATGTACTTTGGATAATGATGTCTATCACATTCCACCATCATTGCTAACCCCTCCCTTCCACTCCCTTCTGCCCTATCTAGAGTTCGTCTATTCCTCTATGGGCATATTTTATATGCACACTTTCTGATGAGCAAGCGAAAGAAAAGGAGCTAGGGAGTCATCTTACCCTTTCCTTTTGTGTTGACATTTTTAGCATAAGTGGTTGACTAGTAAGAGAAGTAACAAAAATTGGGAAAGATATGGTGGGGTTCCTTGGGCATTTGTTTCTTAGGACACTTCGGTTTCTTTCTGAATTTGAAGGAATTTCTGATTTTTTTAATATTTATTTTTTAGTTGGACACAATACCTTCATTTATTTATTTTTATGTGTGCTGAGGATCAGGGCCTCTCATGAGATAGGTGAGTGCTCTACCACTAAGCCACAACCCCAGCCGGTAATTTCTGATTTAATGGAAGACT